CTTCTTGGCCATCACCTTGCATAAATGTGTCACATAGTCCAAGAATCTGGACTGCTGTCCTGTTATTTGCTGGCAGGCTGTGCCGTTCCCATAAAACTCTAACGACTTTATGTGCAACAATAATACTGGAGACTGTCAGAGTTATATAAGGTTATATTTTTATAGGTTCAGAAGCTGTGTTCCAGTAGGTTTGCTGACAATAAGCAAGGTTTGGAAAAGCTGCTTATTAGGGGAACTGGGAATCTGCCCTGGGGGAGTGAAGTATTTTAAATCATTTTATCTACATTTTAAGCATTCATTTCCCCATATCACTGTGAAACTGCCCCTTCCAGCAGAGAAGAGATCTTCACGCATGGTTGTATTGCCAGAAAAGAAAGAGCTGAACAGAATCTAGTGCCTTTTTGTCAGGAAGAGCAGCTAATAGGATTTTTTTACAGAACTGCTCCTCAGTGGCTGGTGAGCTGGGCAACAAGTGACTGGGCAGGAACTGCGGTTCTTCCCTCATATAACTCCAAATAACTTTCACATTCATTCTCAGTAGAGAGAAATAATATGTTTGGCTTGCAGGCAGCTGATGCGTTTTTCAAGTCTACCTAGGACTGCTATGGCAAAACCTACAATCAGCGTTTTGGTATTAGATACACACCAGAATATATTAAACCCATCAACAATATAGGTTTAAAAAACTAGGCAAAATATTTTCCCAGAAAGTTGGCATTTAAGGGGCTTTTCCTATCAAAAGATTATTTTGAAAGCAAATAATCTAAACCAAGTGATTTTGGAAAGCATAACAGTCTGGGAATCCTCCCCAGAAACAGAGGCACAATGATGAAGATGGCTTTGCATTCAGTCAGAGTAACATAAAAGCAACATAACTGCTTTAAATGTAAGTGAACTTTGATTAATATTATGTGATATGGCAGCAATGAATTATTAAAAAAAAAACCAAACAAACAAAACCCCAAAAAACAAAACAACAAACAAACAAAAACCCTAAGGACCTTATTTTGTGGTAGGCTGTCTATATAAAATAATCATGCCCTTTTGAAGAGGTTAACAGTCTACAGAGATGATTTTAGGGAATTAAGGTGTAGAAAAACTTCCTAAAAATTCAGGGAGTGCTATTTTACTTTAGCCTTCAGTAGACGTAAGGCATCCTTCACATGAGTTTAGCGTCATAATGTCTGATCCTAAAGAAGTCTATAGACTTAAAATAAGAAGGGACACAGAGGGCAAGTATGGGTCAGTCACCCTCAGTGTGACAAGGAGCAGCAGAAGCTGAAGTGCCTCTGTCATTGTAAGATACCAGCTGGATGGATAAATCAGAAAGTGAGGCACACCCTGCAGGGGAAGCATCACACATTCTTCCTTTGACTCCTCCTCATCTTCCTTTTTCTTTTTTCTTTTTCTTTTTTTTTTTTTTTTTTTTTTTTTAATTAAAAGCTGCAATTCCTTCCAATTCTTCCTCTGAGGTATGCCATTATCTTACTGCATCGGACTCAGACACGGCTCAAAGTAAACAACACTGAGTCATGCTGGCCTTTGCTTTCTCCCCTGTGTTTCTAATGGAACAATGTTTTAAATGTCCTAGGATAAACATTGGCAGATTTTAGCACATTCACTTTCAACATTTAAAAAAAAGGGAAATGGTAGAAATGAAAGAAAAGCATTGTTTTGCAAGAACGACTGTGTTTAGGGTGGGATTCCTTGGGAGTAGCTGCAAACTGATGCAGCTGCTGCCAGAATGTGGAACCACCATCCTCTGCACTCTTGAATGTCATCTGGTCAGACCACAAACTTTTAATGATTTAACATATTGGAACAAATTTGATGGTTTTATAAATAATGAAAAATATTATTTTAATAAGCAGTGACATTATTTTGTAAAGTAATGGCACTAAGTAGCAACTGGGATTAAGGGCCTTAGTTGACACTTTTCTGTAAATGACTTCTCTCCCCACATTCACCTAAATGTGAGCAAGGATTGTTGTAACAACTAAAGTCTGGAGGAGGCTTCTTGTTAAACATTCATGACCGAGTGGCTGAGTTTTATCTCCACATTTTTTACAAACAGTTGCAAAACAAAACTTAGAAACTCAGTACATGATAGGGAACATTCTTGACCAAGATCAAGTAGACTGAACTAGGAGAAGCTAGAGAGATTAAAAGCTACCATGAAGTATAATTGGATAATGTAATGTAGTTTAGTATAACACAGCGGTGGAGAGAAGGGTACAACACTGCACAGAGTTACTTATACCATGAAACAGAAAACCCAAGACTTGAGTGAATGGTTGGCTGGCAGTTCAGAGTTTCGCTGCTTTGCCAACATCCTCTCCCTCTATAAGCATGGGCCAGTCCCTCATTCTGGTTCTCTGTGCCCCACTTAGGGCAGCAGGACAGAGTGGAATAACTGGGGGTAGGAGTTAGTGCCTTGAGGCTGGTGTGAGCAGAGCAGTGCTGGTTCAGTGTGCTCATGGAACAAAGCTGCCACTGAGCACCCATCAGCATCATCAACGGACAACCACTTGGCTGAATCTGAATGCATTTCTAAAAGGACAGCAAAAAGACTTTTTCCTACCCCAGAAGCAGCCACCTCTCACATTTCCACTTCCTTCTTCAAACTCTGGGAGGGAGTAGGTATCTTCAAAGACTAATTCAGGCTGAGGAAGTAAGGAAAAAATATCAGAGGTAATGACAAAACTATTTAATATGATAGAGCAACTTCTGCTCAACTTTCAGAAACAGTGGAAGGAACAGGGGAAACTTCTTAAAGGTGGGCAAGTTGTAGCAAAACCTCAAGACAGTGGAAAATGACGGACAATCTTAACTGTAGGTATAACAGCTTGGTCTGTTTTAAAACATGATGACCTTTAAAGGTCACCTCATTTGGGTCCTGTTTTACCAGTTGTACAAACTGATGAATAACGACTGTTCCAGCCCAAATGACTGTATGTTATTTTACATACATACTTCTTGGAAAAAAGGCTGCTTTAATTTAACTGCCTAAATCTGGCTTTATCTGACTAACTTTTCAGCCAGCATTTTTTAACTGATTTGTCCAGTCACACAGAGTTTGTAGTATAACCATAGATAACATTCGGGCCTTCTGACAGGAATACCAAATTCCTCTTAGCTCTTTTTCCATTAAAATGGCCGTGTCTTACTGCTTCTTAGTGATTCAGACCAGCAGACAAGTGAATGCAATAGTAAAGAGAATTAGTTATGAGAGCAGTGATTCAAGGAGTCATACTGCTTTCACAGAATAAATATACATGTGGAATAATTTCTGTTACCAGCTATAGGGCTTGCTCAATTCAGTAGCCTGAGTTTTAAACCTAATATCTGGCTTCACAGTTTTCTAAAACATAGTCATTGTGGTTTGGAATTTCTGGGTAAGATCAGATGAGTTTTTGTGGTTTTGATGCAGTAGCAGTAGTAGTAGTGCCGTACGTCAGCACAGGGGAACTGAATGCATTTTTGAGAGAACTTGGAACTTAAAGGAACATACTCTGAAACCAGCAACAGGAGCTGTAGTGGGGCTTCTCAGTACATGGGGCCCAGGCAGCTGAAAACAGCTCATGCATAAGTCTGTCCTGCTGCAGGATCACTGTTAGCACTGGACATAAAAGCAGCTGCATGAATGAGTAATCTTACCATATCTACATCACACTTCTTAGCACATCTAGAGCTGCTGCCTGTATGAGTATCTTCTGGGTTAAGTGGTCTCTTCCATCTATAGCACCTCCATCTATACCTGACAAGGCATTTTAATGCTGTGAGTTTCAACAGCTAAGACAGTTTCATATAAGAACAGTTTATCTCAAACCGGTGTTTTAAAATGAGTCACTCTTAAGGAAGGAAAAAAATTCACGAACTCTTAAATAAAGTGGCTTAAATATCGACTTCCTGCAGATATATTAGGTGTGTTATACATTTAAAAGTAGGAAATAGCAGTGTTTCAGTAAAATAGAACAGATGCAATTATTCTAATAGGTAACCACTCTTTTGGGCTGTGAATTAAATGTAGATAATTACACTCTGCCTGTCTAGCATCCCTCTATATTGCAAAATACTGTTTCCCTTCTTCCTGTCCTGTTGCATAGCATTGAGTGCTTTGTTAGAAGAGTTTTCACTTCTCACTATGCTGCTTATTCTCTTACAAGCTTGCAACTCTATCCCAGGAAATGTTCTCCTCCTTGTAAACTGTTATGCTTTCTCAATTTACATCCTTCTCCGTACTCTTGCCTCTTTCACAATGTCCACAGATGCAGGCATGTAAGAAGATTTGCTGTCTTACATCCCCTCAGGTGTTACAGAAAACAAAACTCTTCTGTACTGAGGACAACCACCAATGGTTCTTTTGAATTCTCTGTTCATAATTTTACATATTCTTTCCGAAAACAGTTCTTTCACTGCAGCCTTCCAGCTAAATGTACCACTTCAATAACTAAATATTAGGGTTGTACAGCATTAGCCGTAAAGTTTCCAATTTTTATTTATAAATGTAAGTCATGTGTTAGTAAATAAAAGAATTCTTTGAACTATGACATTTTATGACTTAAATAAGGCCATTTCATCTGTTCAAAATTGTAAATTGTTTCTTTTTTCTTCTTTTTTTAACATATTGCTCTCATCCTCCTCACTTTCCTTGGTGACAGGGAGCTGCATGGCTGATTGCATACTTAGAGCAGAAAACAAGAGAAACATGCCAAGCTGAACTGGGTGGTGATGCTGTATAATTGACTATATGAGCCTGGCTAGACAATACTGTGGATTAGGAAGAAAATAATGGCAACACAGATGGCCAGAGCTTTGTTTTTATGATTGGCACAATATGATTTTAAAAACTTTTCTGCCTGAAGTATACTTGACAAGAAGGGCTTACCTGATGAGAAGTGAAGGATATGAAAATACTCATGCAAATAGGGGGATCAAATAGATATGTGGTATCAGTCATGCTTCAAGATATATCTCTCCCTCCTTCCCTCTCTCTGCAGGTCCCAGAAGGAAAAGTGGTGGTTCTTTCTTTTAGATATTTAGACCTGGAAAGTGACAACTTGTGCCGATACGATTTTGTGGATATATACAATGGCCATGCCAATGGACAACGCATAGGCAGGTTCTGTGGTACTGTGAAACCAGGTGCTCTTGTATCCAACAGCAATAAAATGTTGGTGCAGATGACTTCAGACGCTAATACTGCTGGAAGTGGATTCATTGCAAAATTTTCTGCAGCAGAACCACATGAAAGAGGTAATTAACAATTACGTAGGTTCTGAAGAGAAATATAACTGTACAAATCTACGGAGAGCCACATAAATGCTTAAAAAGATGTGATGCCAGATGTATTAGGTATTGTGCTGTTCAACGTATTCTTTAATTATCTTGCTGAGGATATCACAAAGTATAACTGTTTAATCATAGTCAAAGTAGTAAAGAGGAGGGGTAACTGTTATAAGACTTGTGAAAGAGCTGCATCTAGTAGTAATATGGTAATGGCTAGTCAATAAAACGGTAGATGAAATTCAATACAGATAAAAGTTGCAAATAAGAGGGAAACCCCTAACTTCATGTATACTACAATGGGCTCTGAATTTACTATTACCACTTAGGAATGATATCTCAGTATTAAAACAGGTAACTTATGAAAATAATAGTTGATCATCAATCCAGTGCAAATAGATGTCAAAAAAGAAACAGAACCTTAACAATTTTTTGAAAAGGGAATAAAGGCCAAACAACAACAACAAATTATGCCCCTATAAACCCATAATGCATTTACATCTTTAATACTGTGTGCCGTTTGGATATTCCCATCTCAGAACAAGTTATAATAAAACCATCAGAAGCAATCAGAGTCAACAAGTACAAAGGAGTTATGGAACATCTTCTGCACAAAGACCAGCTGCAAAGAATGGAACACCTTCATGCTGGAAAAGAGAAGGTCAAGGGGGGTGTAGGAGAAGGCTCTAAAGGCATTGGTGGTACAGAGAAACTGAACAGGGACCACTGCCTCTTCTCATACAAAAACCAGATGAGCAAGTGGCTGCAAAGATGGTGATTTTTCCCAGTGAGCTGTTAAGTGGTGGATTGCTGTGCCAGGGAACATCGTGGATTGTTAATTTCTTCACTGGTTTAAAAACAATTAGAAAAACGTACGAAAGAAAAAATTGTTAGGTATTATTAAACATAAAGGCATTGCCTTGTGCCTGGGAAGACCAAGAACTGAGAGAGGCTGGGAGGTTACAGGGTGGTGGCACTGGCCTGCTGAGGGACTCTTTTTCAAGGCTTTTGCTATTGGCATGATAGCAGATTGTTAGGTTGTTAGATAGCAGATATATGATAGCAGATAGGTTGTTAGGCCTACGCAGTGCAGGTGATGAGTAATTTACAAGTCCTTCTAATTGTATCCCTGTATTGCCCCCCGACACAGCTTCCCCTGTGAGCTGTGGTGAAGTTCTCCAGCCCCCATGACTCCTCCTCCTCCAACCCTGGTGTGCACGGGAATGCTTCTCACTCTTCTTTTTTACCCCCTTCTTCGTCTGCGTCTGGCCTTTCCTACCCTTGATTAAACACATTTTCCCAGAGGTGCCACCAGCTGAGCTGAAGGGCTCAGCCATGTCCAGTGGTGGGGCTGTGGCAGGACTGGACTGGCCACACCCCCTCACCGAGGCAGCTGCAGCAAAACAGGTGCATTACAGGGGCTACCTGCATGCTGTTGCACTGGGGTCAGCCTGGTGTGCTGTGCTTGCAGGGGATCAATACTGTGGGGGACGACTGGAGAAGCCGTCGGGGTCCTTCCAAACGCCCAACTGGCCAGAGCGAGACTACCCAGCGGGAGTCACCTGCTCCTGGCACATTGTCGCCCCGAAGAACCAGGTGAGGCGCTGCCATCACCCTGCCAGCGTGGCCCAGCTTCCATTGCTTGCAAGGACTAACACCTCATGACAGCCTGCTTGCACAACACGCTGCCTGCGTTGCACTGGAACAATAAAAATGCTATTTGGCTGACATGTGAAGCTGGGCTTGTGCAAGGAATACAGGCACACCTATGCTCCAGCAATACCCACCTTCCTCTCCGGTATTGGCTGGCTCACTCCAGTAACTCCTGTGCTTTCTCAACACTGCATGTCCTCCTCTGTCACCGACTTATTCATGTCATACATGGAATGGTTTGGGTTGGAAGGGACCTTAAAGCTCATCCAGTTCCAATCCCAGGCCATGCGCAGGGATACCTTCCGCTAGACCAGGTTTCTCAAAGCCCCATCCAGCCTGGCCTTGAGCACTGCCAGGGATGGGGCAGCGACAGCTTCTCTGGGCTACCTGTGCCAGTGCCTCACCACCCGCACAGTGAAGAACTTCTTCCTAATATCCTGTCTAAACCCCTTCAGTTGAAAACCTCCTAAATTAAGCTTTTTAAAGTATCTGTAACTGGTGAGGCTTTTAAAACAGGCATTTTTAAAGCTTATTTTGTTAATTAACGAAATACCGTGCAAATTGAATTAGGACAGATGATCATCTCAAGACCAAACATGATCATGACCAATGCTACATTTAAGTCTAACAACATTTGTGGCATTTATTGGTATTGCTGCACTTTATTATTGAGGTACCCAGGAAGAGCTGATTTAATTTATTAAAAGCAGAAATTTTATTCTGCCTACAGTACAGGGAACGTATTCAGATTTGTCCTGCACAGGAATTTTCAATGTACATTTCATGAAGTTTTATCTTATATTTTGAAGAAAACACCATCTCATAATATGCTTCCTTAGTTAGGGAAATAACATCAGATCATATATTACAATTTCATTAAGCCCTGAAGAGATGTGACAGCAGACCAAGAGGGCTCATTTGCCACCATTTGCCACACATGGCAAAGTGTGTTCCCTATACTGTAGGGCTCATCTCAATCCTAGCTTCACATTTTCTGGTTGTTGCTGAGCCATATGCTCTGTACTTTGGCAGGAGGTCTACTATAATTGAATGTTTTTGTCACCAAGCATGTTTGGTAGGTTGCTTTTCTTAGCCACATACAGCTTCTTAAATTCCCCTATATGTAAAGACAACTTTCCTCTTAATCTTCTGCTCATGACCATAATCCTCCAAATAAAAAAAAAAGCTGCCCTAGATAAATGCATTCTTCAGATCTTTCACACTTTTCCATTTACCAAGATATTTTATCCCTGGTACTGAAGCAGTGTCTCAGCTTAGTCTTTCCTGTACTATTTAATCCACATTCCTTGTTTGCTAGATACAGGTCATTTAACAATTCTACAGATAGGCAGTGATTTTTAAAACCTTATCTGCAAACTGCAGATTACTTTGGTTCTTTCCAAGTATCTCTAGATAAGCCTAAAAACTTTTCCTAAGCTTGTAGAAAGGCTATGTAAGCACAAAAATAAGGACATCATATCCTGTACGTTTTGAGAATTCTGTTCCATAGATCTACAAGTTTCCAAATACGTATTTTTTGTGTACTGCAATAGTGGTTGTTTGCATGCAAATGAAACAGAATTTTGACAGTTGAAAGCCATTTCCGAGGAAAGTGAATAATAATCTTTCTTCAAGTGCACATGAAAAGCTGTTCACTCTTCCATTTGCCAAAGTTTAGGTGCTGTTGTCTCTATGTCTCTTTCACAAGCATGTGAGCAATAAAGCAAGGCACTCTTTTGCTTCTAATACAAATCTATTACTTCTTTTATTACAGAAGATGTAGGAGCTTCTCATGATGGTGAAGAGCTATTCTATCATGAAATATTTCTTCATTAGTGCAAAGTGCACTTAGGAACAATAATAAAGTAGATATTACAGCTTGTTGTTTTGCCTGCTATGGAAAAATTTAGCATTTCCACTCCCAATTGCATTAGTTATTTCTGTACAATCTTTTTTGATCATAAGCATGTTATTCAGATGGGTACATCCATTTAAAGCGCATTTTTTCTTCACAACCACAAGGCTTTTGAAACAAACCTGTTACTCATCTCTGAAATGAAGTCCCCCTAGGCTACTCATACTTTATGGGAAACAAAATGATACCTTACACTTGCGAACAGTGCAAAAGCATATCCAGGCAAAACTAAGACACCAGGTGATAGCATGCTATCATTACTATGAATGTAGAACAGGACCACTTTTACTCTTTCAGTAAATCAAAGTGTATGCAATGCACAAACTACTCATTTTTTCATTGTACAGTCTTAAAAGATTTAATATCATCTTTGAGACAGAACTTTAAAAAGAAATCCTGCATAGCTATAATCAGCACAATTCAGTGCTGTCATTCAAGCCTCATTTCTGCTATTTATGGGAAGGTGATTTAAAAACTGTTGTGCTTCATATAAAGACACAACCTAAATGCATATATTACCTCTGTTTTAATTGTGCAGTTATGTTGTGTTCTCCTTCCTTGCTACACACAACTGACAGTGTTATACCGCAGGACTTCCATTTCAGAGCATTAAATTCCCCATCTGTTTTCTTGTCCATAGTTTTTCTTTCTTAAGTAGAAAAGCCCATAAATACAAGTCATGTTGGAGGTAATGGCATCAGTACTGGAAATATTAGAGCTATACTAGTCCTCACTTATGACTTCCAAAGCCCAACATTTATGGAAATTATGTATGGAAACACAATTCATTTAACTAGTTACTTTCTCTTGATTTTAGTCTTTACTGATTTTCTTTCTATCAATATTTTTGTTTCTGACCTTTTATTTCTGCATCAAGTAAACAGCACTGGCAACCACAGTGGTTCAAGGCCTGTTCTTAATGAAGTCAGTAAAATGGGTCTTAACAAACTTTGCCCTTACTTTTTCTTTAGTGTATCTTGAATGATACAATGACACTAAAAGCCCCTTGTTTGTGGTTTAGATTTGCTACAGTTACTTTAAAAGCAACCTAACACTGGACACCTACTATCCTGTTTTCATTCAAACGTAAAAATTACTTTATCACAAGTTACTTGTATATATTTGAGAACAAACTGTCTTACAGAATGTTAGTCATACGTTGAAAAAATTGTTGGAGAGAAGTCACATGGATTAAAATACTTAGCTCCACAATTAAGTGGACTAAGGATTTTTCCTTTACAGAAA